GCTGGAAAGATAGTTCATGGTGAAGGCAACCTTAGATTTGGTCCTGATGGTGTTGATCGGTCAGATTTTTTAATGACATCGAAGGGCATCGATAGGCCTGCCGAGAGATCATTTCAGTCAATTTATAATTGGTTGATGCGAGAATTTAGAATAGACTTAGAAGTCTACACAATGTCAGTATCGGTTGTAGTGAGTCGTGCAACGAAAGGTTATTTTTGGGAACTCATGCCGATGCATAGCACTATTGCTTGGAAACGGTATCTGGAGATGGCTTTTGAAAGGTCATGGCCCCTGGTTATTTTTGTGTTGGTGCATGAAAATGATAGAAATATTGCAATGGAAACCGAAGAAGTGGAGGGTCCAAGCCATGAGGGGGATTTGTTGAACCATCGGGGGAAGATGAGGGAAATGACACAGTGGTGGTGCAGGCCATGGGCATGGCGGATGAGGGGGAGAGAATCAGTACAATCGTTGATGAAATGGAGAGGGAAGATTTAGATAACGAGCAAGCGGAGGACGATGCATCATCCGACAAGGAAGGTGATGTAATGTCCACTGATTGGACAAACGAGGACTTCTCGGGACTTGCTATCTCAGAGGGGCATCATGTACCCTGGGAATACAAGGATAACGAGGTAATTAAGGGTGCTACGTATGCTCATAAGGAGGATATGAAGGAGGCAGTGAAGTATTGGGCGGTCTCATTGATGAGAGAGGGTGTCAAGTCAACCAATTATGTGTATGAAGTGAGGTGCGTGAAAGAAGATTGTCCGTGGCGTGTTCATGCATATAAGGGTAAATTGAAAGAATATTGGAAAAGTTAACATTGTGACCGAGCATCAGTGCCACTTACAAGGGGTCGAGAAGTATCACCGCAACATCACATCAGCTTTTGTTGCAAGTGAGATGTACAGGAGTGTTGTCGGTAACTCTGGCTTTGAACCAAGAGCAATTATTAGCCGCATTGAAGACAAATTCAAGTACACCATAACCTATGCCAAGGCTTGGAGAGAAAAACATAAGGTTTTAGAGATGCATTTTTGAAGCATCATATGATAATTTGCAGCGTCGGTTAGCCACCATTGCCTAGAGGAATAGCAATACATACTATGGCGTGCATACATTTCCATCCACTGTTGATCCTAACAAGAGTGTGTTGCAAAGAGCCTTTTTCTCATTGGGTGCTTGCATGAAGGCTTTTGTGCACTGCCGGCCTGTGTTATGTATAGATGGAACATTTTTGATCGGTAAATACAGAGGTCAGCTATTGACAGCGATTGGAGTTGATGGGAACAATCAGCTGTTACCTATGGCTTTTGCATTTATAGAGAGTGAGAACACTGAAAGCTGGTACTGGTTCTTGGACAGAGTGCAGAGAAAAGTCGTGTGTATGAGGCCCAATGTTTGCCTTATACTTGATCGTCATGCGGGCATGTTGCGGGCTATTGACTACTTGCAGAACGGTTGGGATGAGAAGGGAATTCCAGCTAAGTGGCCCGATGTTCAGAGTCGGTGCTGCATGCGTCACATGGGTGCTAATTTCTACAAGCAATTCAAGAACAAGCATCTTATGGATCCTTTTAAGAGGCTCTGTGCACAGAATCAAGAGAAGAAATTTAATGAGTTGTGGAATAAGTTGGATGAGTTGACAACCAAGCAAACTGACGAGCAATCTCGTCGACTACAAGCTGAAGGTGACGAGCCTCCAGTACCTCTTGGTGCACTACATGATGACGCACCCACAATGAGAAGGAGGTCGGGATCATCTATCCAAAAGTTCTCTCATTAGATTGAGAATGAACCAAAGGAGAAGTGGTCTCTATTGTTCGACACCGATGGTTCTCGATATGGCATAATGACAACTAATCTAGCCGAGGTTTACAACTTGGTAATGCGAGGAGTGCGAGGACTACCGTTGGTTGGTATAGTCGAATTTATCCTTCACGGCGCGCAGGCCTACTTCAGGGATCGATACAAGAAAATTGATCCCTCAATGGTAGATAACAAGATAATATTTGGCAGCGTAGTGACTAAGTACATGGAAGATAAAATAGCAAAGGCACAGAGGCATAGAGTTGTGGCTCAAGGAACAAAAGTTCATCGGTATGAAATAATGTGTGTTGATAGGAGCAGGCGTGGAATCATGCGCAAGCATGCCGTGCAGGAATGTGTACTGAAGTCTGATGGAGGATGCAGTTGCACCTATATGAAGCCTAAGCTTCGACATCTGCCTTGCTCTCACATACTTGCCGTGGCAGGAGACTGTGGTATATGTCCCGATGTGTACGTGTCACCTTATTTCAGGAAGGAAGCAATCTTTCATACATGGAGTGAGGAGATACATGGGTTCGGGATTTCAGGATCATACATAACTCAGAGGTCCCAAGTTTTTTTCATTCCCGATCCATCGAAGTTAAGGGTGAAAAAGGGGCGGCGTTAGACTAGACGCATCAAAAATGACATGAACGAGTCGGAAGCTGGTGGGAGGACTCTACGCTGCAGCAAGTGTGACCATCGCGGCCATACTTACAAGAAATGCTCGAAGACTGCACAGGGTCCAAGCACCGAGGATGTTGGTCCATCTGGAGAGGCAAGTGATGGAAGAAGATCACCTGGGGAAGGAACAACAAGCTAATAGGAACAACAGGCGTCCTCATGCGGCAGGCGATGCGATGGTCTAATAGTGAAATTTTGCTCACGCGTGCGCGTGTTGTCACATCAAGTGGGCCAGATGAACTCTCATTAAGTCCATTTATAGCACTAGTTGCGGCCCTATATAATAGACAAGCTGAATACAACAGCTTCATATCATCATTCATATTCCCACACATCTAGAGAGAATGGAAGCTCCATTTCTTGAGCCAAGCCTCATGGTACAAACTCGGGGCATGAGATTCTTCCAATGCGCAAACCTTGATCAGGTATGATTTATTCGTTACAAGTTCAATTAACTGTACTGAATACATAAAACACTAACCGATTTCTACTCCATCATAACATCTTACGTAGACATACCGTACATTGTGCAACTACATTGAGGTGTAGATACGGAGGACCCACAAAACGACGGAACACGTCCATATGCACGTAGTGAATTAAGATTGGACTACCTTAGATCTCTCTTTCATGCACTAATCACTAATCACTACTTTCATGCACTTACATCTATTTACACAATTTTTAAAATAGGAGGAAGTTAGGAAATGTCAATTCGTACAATGGATCGATACGGTCAGAGTTACTTCCATTGGTCAAACGATAACGCAACCTGAGACGACCACGCAATTCATTCAGGCATGGATGGAGTACGAACATCAGGTACAAATTGCAAGCTTTAGACTGGAGGAATAATCCATTAGGTTTACCTAAATGGTCAGAGCGTCCAAAGTGTGGTTGTACAGATCACTGCCAGGTGGATACCTAGTTTGCAGAACAAACAATTGGTAGGAGATACTTTGTCTGCCCCAATGTAGACGACGATTTCGTTGTACGTATAACAAATTCCAAATTTAACTAGCATCTGCTTATTATTACTATCATATCTGACTAACTATGTTTGTTTCTTAGGGCAATCCAGGAAGGTGCGCATTCACTTTATGGATCGACAATGTCAATCCCACATATGATGGCCAAAAGATAACTGAGTCTGAAACACTGGTAGAGTACCAGCGAGAGAAGGAGCATTAAAATGCAATACATGTTGAACAGCGCGGAAGGGGTCGGTAGATACGCTCAGGCTCGATTTGTCAGGACTGACAAATTTGTATCTTTTATCCATGCTATCTTGTCATTATAATGTTTCATTATTATGGTGTGTTGTTGTATGCCTCACGAATTACAAATAAATGGGCTCTATCGTTCCGATTTCCAAAGTTTCTTTTACGCCACGATACGTTGTATCCTTAAAATTTATAAGTATCTGCTTATATTTTTATAACTTCCACCTTCAATTGTGTACATGATTCAACATACGCGAGAATTATACATAACTTACAATTTATAGGTAACAAACCCCCTCATTTCCCCGCAAAAAAAAAAACCCTCATTACCCTCCAATCTTTATGAAAAATTAAATTATTCAAATTTTATAAAAATGTACTTACTTTGTTCGTTTCAAAATGATATTTTACCTAATTTTAGCTGCTAAAAGATTAGGTTTATGTAAAACACCTATTTCGAAAAATTTTAAGTGCAAAATAATTAGATTTATGTAATGAATAATTTGAAACTATTCTCCTTCTATTTCGAAACGATAATTTACGTAGTTTATAAAGTAACCATTAATTATTTCAATGTAAAAACACCCCTTGTTGGGCTCCAAACTGCGAAAACAACGTACCATTCAAATGTAATAATGTTTTTCTTGTTTCACAATTTTTAAAATTTTTTAAATAATGGTTTACTAAATTTTCTAAATAAACGGAGCTAAACACCTGGGACTGCCCTTGCCCCCCAGCACAGTGAAAAATCGCCCTCCCTAAGGGCGGCAAGGGGGCCGCCTCGCCGCCCTTTTGCAGGCGGCCCCCGCACAGTGGTAAATCGCCCTCCCTAAGGACGGCAAGGGGGCCGCCTGCAAAAAAACTAGGCCACTCTGTTGCAGGCGGCCCTCGAACAATGTAAAACCGCCCTCCGTAAGGGCAGCAAGGGAGCCGCTTGCAAAATGGCACGCCCCCCCATAGCCGGCCGTTAGGAATGACCTAACGGCCGTGTGCCACGTCACAAAAACCGCCCTTTGGAAGGGCGATTTTTAAAATCGCCCTCCCCAAGGGGACGCGGATCCTCTGACTTTACTTGCTAAAGTCACGGTGTGACTTTCGACCAATCTCCACCGTCCGACTCATCCGATGGAGGACGTCTCCTGCGGGCTGCTTTTGGGCCATTAAATGCCATTTGATTGATGATCCTAACCAGCGATTAGTGAACCTAATTACCTAACCAATATAATACTACATGAGATTAGTCAGATAACTGGAAATTACTTCTAATCTGTGTGCTAAATTGCTGATTCCATGTGAATATATTACTGTGTAATCAGCATTATTGAAAAATTTAGTGTAAGCAGTACATGTGATTAGTTTTCTCGCCAGAACGTATCGATTGATATATTGCACGTACGTAAATGAGATCCCTCCAAACATTTTATTACGAAGAAATTGTAAGCGTGTTGGGGATTGAACACGGGACCTCGGAGTCAAAATCACAAATATCAAGTGCGTCTCTATGTTCCACGTATATAGCAATGTATTTTTATACATAGTTATTTGCTTAAATTTCTGTTGTTATTAAAAAAATATACGTGCGTTACAATTTTTTCTCGATCTTTCAAAATTGATCGAGGACTTTCGATCCACTTGATTTTCATTTTTTTTCATTTCCCAAAAAAACGCGGGAAAGCAGCTTTATTATTTTTAGTCACCAAAATAAAAAATAATTTCATGCAGTTGCCGGCCTAATCTCTCATTGAGTAGTATTGTTTAGATTTATTACTTGTTGGGTAGAATCAGTAATAAAATGACATTCATCTGCAACAGATTAGAGGTAACTAGCCGGTCATCCCGTGCCTTGCACGGGTTATTGGTATTGGTAGTATAAAGATCAAAATTTTAACCATACGTTTACTACGTTGGTTATATTCGAATTCTAGCATGTTAGATTGAAATAATAGTTAACTACTCCGTTTGTCTCAGAATATAAGTATTTTTAGAATTAGACAACGGTTATTAAGAAAGTTGGTACAATTAAATAGGGGAGTGTTGTGGTTGAAGGAGAAGTGAAGATAGGTGGAAAAATTGAATGGTGGAGGATTGTGATTTGTTGAGAAGAGAATGTTGGTGGTAAAGTTGTTATATTTTGGGACAAATTCTAAAGGCTAGAAGTTGTTCTATTTTGGGACGGAGTGAATACTACTTGTTAATTATTAATTTCGAATTAAACAAATGCTAAATTTGTGATACATCCAACTTATTTATTTGATATTGTGGAATTCTGGAATTAATTAAGTATTTAGTTGTGTCTGTGGTCGAGTTTAAATTTAAGTGCACCCAGTAATTTTATAATTTTCAAATTCAAAAAAAAATAGTTATACTCAGTATGGACCCTAGAAGATATAAGATATATGCAATTAGCTTTTTTCTCTCGTAATAATAATTAGTAGTGATGTATGGTCTCTTGTCTATCTGTATAAATTAAAGAGTCCACGATATTGCCAATTGCATGTTTTATTTTTCACAAACCCTAAATAAACTCTAATGCTATGATTTTGCGATTTTGCCATGATACATGCTTTTTAACGTGAATTTGGTCACGTCTATCAGATCAAGCCTAGATTGTTTACTCTTGCTGCAAGTAATTCTCATATGAACCTACGTACATGATAAATATTTGTTTCCGTGCATGATTATTCGCTTAATAGGTTTCTAGCTAGTTCAAATAGATAAACCGTGTGTAGGATTAATTCTGAATTTCGTTCTCTTTACGTCGCATGATTTACTATCGAGAAGAATATTTATGACATCCCAAAGAGTCAGGATTGCTAAAATTATGGGGGTAAAATTTTTCACTTAATTTCACGTCATGTATCCTATATGATACTCTAGTAAGTATGTTTCTCTCTCTCTCATTTCCTTTTCCAAGTAGATAATAATTAAATTATTTTTACTCCTAATTCTTATAAACTGTGTACTAAAAAACAAAAGGTAAATATTGAAATTTATAATGTAATTATTTATGTTATGAAATTTAGCGTGTAATTAACTACAATGCAAGTGTATGTAATATATTGTAGTTACCCTTCGGTTTTCCTAAAAGAAATTGTATCTCGAAATTAGGCTGCTAAAATATACTTGTAAATGGAGCTCTATATATTAACTGAAATACTTGTTAGGAAAAATTGATATAAGGACTAACCCAAACGAATGAACATGAACAGTAAGCTGCAAACTACATGTACATATATATGCATTGCATACGGGATATACCGGGCATATGGAAAATTAAATATAGTTGATTGCATTCAGAAAATTATAATCAATATATTTTTATCTGCTTGTACTGTCATTAAACAACTTATCAAAATCAGAATTGACAACTTAGAACTTGCAAGTTTAATGGAATAGAAACACACATTCAATATGCAAAAGATGATCAGCAAATAGTTGATCATTCCAATCAAAACCATAAATTGAGTGCGTCCTAATTAAATAGACTGCTAAATATATATTGCGAATTGAACACGCAAACCATGCAAATTCAAAGGAATACGTATATATGTATATTGTAGATGCAGCAATAGATCTGTAGCAGACGCAGTGACGGATGTGCAAGCAATTTTTTTATTTTGTAGCAAACTTTTTTCCCCAGAATTCATTTGGTTAAATTTCGTTTCAGGTTAAAATTAATCCAATCTTTATGGAGTAAAAATAGTACCTGCTCCAGACGTCAAACCAGAGACTTAACAGGGATGAACGATACCTCTGGAGCGAGAGCGATCACTGATTCACTGCAACTTTTAACTTCTCCTCGTGATTGAGGCAAATTATCGCTGATCGGGACCACAGTCTGGGATCAAGGTCGACGATCGCGTTCGCCGTTTCTTCTATCGCTTCTAAATTTCCAATCTGATTTCTCACGATGGAACTTGGAGACAAATTAGATGGGTTCTGTCCTTCCATCGATAACTCGGTAGATAGGATTTGCAAGTAGCCCACCGAGTTTAAGATTGATTGGCCCACAACGTTAAAGTATTGCATGATCTACGGTGTAGATTAAAGGAATTATCTAATTGACGCTTAGATCTTTCTGGTTAATATGAGAGCTCCAAAAAAGTGCCCGATTAGTATAGGTATAGATATAGATTTTTAGTTATCGGACTAATCTCACGCAGTATTATATTTTATAGATAATTAGGTTCATTAATCGCTGGTTAGGATAAGCAATCAAGGCATTTAATGGCCCGAAAGCAGCCCACGGGAGACGTCCTCCGTTGGATGAGTCGGACGGTGGAGATCGGCCGAAAGTCACACCATGACTTTAGCATGTAAAGTCAGAGGATCCGCGTCCTCCCCAAGGGGCGGTGGGCGACTAGTTTGTAAAATTTTCAAACACAAAATTAGTTTTGTAAATATTTTAATAAAAAAATTAAAAATAAAAAAAATCTTCGGAAGAGCTAGCTTCTGCAGCTACAGCGTCTAACGCAGCTAAGCTAGCAGCGGCTGAGATATACATTCTTGATTGACAGCTGAACAACTAAGTTTTCCAGTGCCCTGCAGCCCAACTGCCCTAACAGTGTAGCAGCTACAAAAACATACTACCGAACAGGCCCTGCTAAACACGTTTGTTTGCCCATATTGAACTGACTTTCTACTGCACGGTCATCGTTTCGAGAACCTGAAGTTTAACTATTTGATAGGAAAAGAAACATCAAAAGCAATCAAGAGTAGATAACGCTGGTCGAATTACTAGTGAGTTCCCATTGTCGATAATTAAACAGAGAAAAACACACGAATGCAACGCTTTGGTCCAGGATGGCAGCTTCAGGCAGCCTCACCATCCAGTGTCCAGGATAGGATTTCAAAACCAGTTCTCCCTTAAGGAAATGTGATATTCTTGGCGACTGAGTTCTTCTCTCATGCGACTGTGTTCTTCTCTCATGCTACTGACTGGCTTATTGCGTTCATGTGCTTTGTTCAGCTTCACATGCATCTTTGGCCTCCTTTACCAAGTCCTCCAGTTGTTTTTGTGCCATAGGAATAAGTTGACGGGCTTCAACCATCTCGCTGTAGGCATTCATGAAAGATCTCTTACGGATCTTCCCTTCATACTTATGTGCATCCTTCACTAACTTCGACAGCTCATCTTGTGTAAACATCTGAAAGAAAATAGGTATGCTTCAGCGATTCAGCCCATTACAAAAATGCCATGATGAAAATGTTACAGTTTACCGCTTCCTCAGCTGTAGATCTTTCTGTGGGGTAACATATGATCTTAATACCCGTAGCAAGTTTCATCAAATCCCAGTCTAAACATTTAATGCCAGACCGTTTCTCAATGTATTCACCAGTCCAGCGCAAGTGCTTGGAGTTTTTCACATCACAGTATTCGCAATCAAGCAAGAAGCATGCCAGCTTAATAATAGAGTCAGTAACCTGGGTACAAAAGAGCATTCTTTCATCACTAATAAAAAAAATGTAAGTAAATATTGCATTCTTTGGGAAAGGACAGTTAAGGATTCCAAGTGCACATTGAACAAACTATCATATAAATGTGTGATGGGGAGGCATTGACATTAAGGAAGCAACTTGTGAACTCACCATCTCTGGTTTGACATCCAAACCATAGCGGTTAAGGAGCATGTACAATCCTTGGCTCATTGGGAGGTAGTCGTCCTTGCTCAACTTCATTTTTTCTTGGGGTACTAAAACATGCATCAGATTCTTCAGGCCCCACATCACTTCCATCACAATTTCATCAAACATGCAGGGCACACTCTGAAAGAAATGACAGCAAAATTGGTGCTCAAGGTTGTCCACTAAGAAAAGCAAACAAGGGAGCTGAACACTAACCAAGCTTCTTTCAATGATTTCTTTATATTCGGGTTTTCCAACGGCCATTTTCTGCCCAGGGTGATGCCACTTCATGATCATCTCAGCAAGGTCGCAACTGACACCAGTATCATGATTAATGGCACTGGACTTGTCCTTGATTTCTCGAAATTCCTTCAGCCAAATGAACTGATAGATAAACGAAAGAGAAGAATGTTAAGGGGCAAAAAATAAATAAATCCAGTAAATAATCATGCAATGTCTCCCAATCATGACGCATGCAATTCAGTAGGTACACCGCAATCAGTGGTTCAAAAACAGTGGACGCTAAGCAGCTAGTTCCACCAAGCAAACCTAGGCATGATTAGGCACATGTAAATTTTACTACATAGAGTATGTACTATCATATTACATAGAGCAAACCTGGCATATTAAATCATAGAAACTGGCATATCATACATCCATGACATCAATGATGTAAAATCTTCATCTCTAATTTGCCCCACTTCTCTGTGCAGACCCGAAACAACACTAGGCAGGAAAACAACTAGATGCAATCCTAGGTGCTATGAAAGAGGGGCAGCTGGGCCCAGTTACTAGTTAGCCCAGTTACTAATTTTGAATTTTGAAAAGCGGTACTTCTCAAGATGTGCTGCCAAGAACAGCTGGAATATTTAATCACAATCGAAAGATCTAGCCTTTTTCAATTCCTTAAGTTCTTGCAATGTGATTGAGAATAAGTTGTTGTGCTAAGGTAATATACAACGCATTTTAAAAACAAACAAAGTGATGTTCTTTCGGTTAGGCTGTGGTGTTCATTATCCCGGTAACCCTGGCTTTCGGAGCATGTTAGAGCTCAATCATCCCTATCCCACAGTTAGAAAATAAAATTGGTTGTATAGCAAAGGTTTTAGCCTGCAACAATCCATTCTTTAAACTATAACGAACAACTTTCAACAGAGCATTATGGAAAAAATGCATTTTCAATCAGTTGATCAGCAAACAAAAAAATGAATACTGAGCTTGTGCTTGCATTTCTTCTCTCAATGCAAATAAAAAGGAAAATGTAAAGTAAATGTGGTGGTCAATACCCAATTCAAACTGGCAACCAACAACGCAAAAAAAAAAGGAATAACAATAAGAAGAAATGACTAACTTTGGATACCCTATAGTCCACGCCAAAGTTTGCCCAGATTTCCTGTAGTTGGTAGAGAAAACAGAAAAGTTAGGTCGATGACAAAGAGAGAGGCAATCAAGCACATAAGTAAACAGGGAAGGAATAAAAGCATGCACCTGCAGGGCATTTGGTTGAATGAGTCTGTCCCCACTCATACCGAACATTGCGAAGCCAGAGGGCGTCTCAAACAGAACTAAGACTATTAGACAATGGTACGTATTGTGATCTGCGAACACACAAGCCAAGCAAACTTAAGCAACAGCAAGCACGAAGGACTGCAAGAGGCAACGAGAGGAGATCAATCGCCCATTCAGTCAGCACGCGTGAAGCAAAGATGTGGATCTTAGGCTGAAAAGCCCTCATCTCTGCGAAATAACCGCTACATCTGCCACGCGGAGTCAAACTGCCATGAACAGGGTGTTCACAGTATGCGAGATCGACAACAAACGGGTTCCGTGCATACAGGAATCGCCTCCCCAGATCTATCTGCTCTTCCCATGCGATGCATGTGCTACCATAAGTTAAGGATCCGCTAGGGGTTTGCTTTCTCATCCTCACACGCCAGTTTTCCTTCCGACGTGGGAGGGATCAAGAGAGGGTTGGTGGCTCACCTACACCGGCGATTGACCCCGCCGTCGCCGTACGAGTAGCACTGCATCCTCGCTTACTCGAGGTCGAGGTCGAGGTCGAGGTCGAGGTCGATCTCTTTCCTGTCATGGTGTGTGAGATTGGGACCGAAGGAAGACGTCTCAACGTTGGCTTCCTAATACCGGCAACAGACGCCGCTGCCGGACGAGAAGCACCTCCGCCGCACAGATTGCGAGATGTGGGGGTTGGGGGGAGGGGGGGAGTATTTTACCTTTTAGGCCTTGTTCTTTTAGGCTGGGTTTGGGGGGGAATGGGCCAACATCCCCGTGTGCCATCCCGGCCGGGTCGAATTTTCTTCCGTGGCCCATGTATGCGTTCGCCTGGGCCGGGGTGGGAGTAATTCTCCACCCAATCCACACCAATCCCACGGGGAGAGAAAAATCGCCTCGGAGACGATTTTTTTTTCCAAGCCAGCCGCAGCGCTCGGCCTCCTCGACTCCTCGTTGCGCTAGGGTTTGGAGGCGGCGTGAGGTCCGGGAGGCGGCGCGAGGTCCGGGAGGCGGCTCTAGGGTGGAGATCCAGGAGCAGCATATCTCCAGCCGCTGCCGCTCTCCATCCCGCCCTCGGACGCCGACGATCTCCATCCAGCTTCAGCCGCCGCCGGTCTCCATCCCGTCCTCAGCCGCCGCCGGTCTCCATCCCGCTTCAGCCGCCGCCGGTCTCCATCCCGCTTCAGCCGTCGCCGCCGCTCTCCTTCCCGCTCTCCATCCCAGCCAGTCGCCGGCGCTCGCCATCTCTCCTTCCTCGCTTCGGATTCACCGGTTGCGGGAGAGGGCAAGGTCGAGGGCAACAGCCCCGGACACCAAGAAGCAGGTCTGATTCTTGATCTCCTCTTTTCCCACTCAGAAAAGATTTTGTGACTTATCTAGTGGATGAATTTGTTGCTAGTTGATGTATTGAGTGGCTGTATGGATTGAAGTATCAGTCATGTTCTGCTTAGAAGGAGGGGTGATGTGGTTTGTAGTAGTAGAACCTGAAACCACAGAAAATTCCATGCACATCTCTGTGTGTGTGTGTGCAAATCTTGCCTATCAGTTGCTCTGTAATCAAGGAAATATATATTTGAATTGGCAGATCCTATATTTCTGAACATGGGCTCTCTTCTTTCTTTTCTTTTTTTTTGTGAGGGAGAAACCTGGTTTGTTGATTCTCCAGGAATTATTGTAGATGCAGTGGGAGCACACCTAAAAAATAAAAACTAGTGCACTCTGTTGTTGCTGTCTAGAATGCATCACTTTGCTTTTGGCCAAGGTCATTTGAGCTTCAGATTGAACGACCAATACTATATGCCAATTGAATGAGCAAGAAGATACAAAAATTTGAGCAAGAAGATACAAAAATTTTTAAAGTCATGCTATGAGGTGGTCAGGTGGACACTGTAGTATACATTCTAGTTTTGGTAATTTTTTCCATGGCTTTTTGTTTAGCAAAATGCCCTTGTTAAAACTTGAGAAATGTAGCTGTCCATCTTTTGTTCGAATACCTATTTTACTCTTAGCAATCAATTTAGCATATTTATCTATTCTGAACTGCTACTATGTTCACAACTAGTTTCAGGAAACTGGGTGATCAGATATATTACTAGAGGTCATACCATACAAAGCTATATAAATTGCTATTGAATGACAAAAATATAATCTGTTGTGCTGAATTAAATTTCAGGAGAGGCACAGGCGTGTGGGGTTGGCAAAAGTAAAGCTGAAGGAGTTGATATTACTCAAGGTATTTGAGAAAAAACTAAATACAGTTGTACTTACATTTGCCTGATATGAAGCATTTAATCTTGCCCCTGCATATTTACTAGAGTAACAGAAGTAATTTGAAGTTGGAGAGAGAGAGAGATTGTAGGTACAATGTTATGTGATCTTGCTCAGGTGGCAGATGGTCTCAGTTTTTTTTGCTAGTGAACAGGAGGTTGTTATTTTCAAGTAAACATCCTACCCTAGAAGGATATCCTCACTTTATTAAAGTTGCTATCTCTGAGGTTTAAACAAAACTAAGTACACAAAGTATTAAAATCTGAACACATTATTGATCCCCCTCCTCCCATTGCAGACTGTTTATTTGCTGAAAGTATTAAAAGTATTTATGCATGTAGCCACCTTGAATGCCTCTAATTTCATGTTTAATAATCTTGTAATACATATGCATATTATTATGTTCTCACACATAGTTTAAAGTATAGTAATTCTATATCTCTTTTAGTGATAAAATCAGTTCGAGAATGGCGGATGAAATTAAAAGGAGGAGAGAAGAGGACGATGATATGATGCTTTTTATTTTTCCTGCGATGTATATGCTGTGCGGTACGACAAATAGTGAGAAAATACCTAGACATATCTCAAGACTATCCGGTAAAGAGCGGCTTCAAGAAATCCTTGAAGGACATGTAATGGATTGTAAAGTTGCATTCCGCATGGAGCCTCATGTTTTCAAGACAATAGCGAATTATCTTAGAGAGGAAAAGTTGTTAAAGGATAGTAGAGGCTTGAGGATTGAGGAGAAACTTGGGATATTTATGTTCATGCTCGCTCACAATGCAAGCTTTCAAGATCTACAGTATGAATTCAAGCATAGTGGGTCTACACTTCATCGGCATATTAAGTCTATTTTCAAGATAATCCCAGCTCTCACCTATAGATTTCTCAAGCTTCCTCATGCCAACCAAACGCATTGGAAGATTAGAACAAATCCTCGCTTCTTTCCTTACTTCAAGGTGAATCTGGCACTCAAAATAGAAATGAATATCTATTCCTTCTCCAATTAAATAACTCATGCATATTCTGTCCTTTTCTTCCCTTTTTGCTGCAGAATTGCATAGGGGCTATTGATGGCACTCACATTCCTATAACTATAGATGGAGAGAAGGCAGCTCCTTATAGGAACAGAAAAGGGACTTTGAGCCAAAATGTGATGGTTGCTTGTGATTTCGACCTAAATTTCACTTTTATCTCATGTGGTTGGGAGGGGTCTGCAACCGATGCTAGGGTCCTTAGATCAGCAATGAATAGTGGCTTTCAAGTCCCAAATGGTAAATTTTTTCTAGTAGATGGTGGTTATGCCAACACACCACAGTTCATTGCTCCTTATCGTGGTGTTCGGTACCATCTAAAGGAGTTTGGACGTGGTCATCGTCGACCTAGAGACTACAAGGAGTTATTCAATCATCGCCATGCCATTCTGAGAAACCATGTAGAGAGAGCTCTAGGGGTTCTAAAGAAGCGATTTCCCATCCTGAAAGTAGGCACTTTCCATCGGATAAAGAACCAAGTGCGGATTCCAGCAGCTGCTGCAGTGTTCCACAACATGATCCGGTTGCTTAATGGTGATGAGGGCTGGTTGGACAACCAACCTGATAATATAGAACCTACTAATTTTGTCGATCTACCAGAAGGTGACAGTGAATACCAAAATGATGTGCCATCTCTTAGCAATCAAATGATCAGTGGGAATAATATTAGAGATATGATTGCTAAGAAGATGTGGGAAGATTATGTTCGTAACTAGCAAGAATAGTATAGATAATATTTTGGTTTTGCATGATTTGTATTTATTTATGCAATCAACATTTATGATATGGACAAATTAATAGTAAGCAACGTAGTTTGTATTTTCTCATTCAATAAAATATTGCAATATAGTTATGATGTTTGGAAGACTATCTCCGAAAGCAAGCCTATTGCAGCAGCAACAAAGGCATCCACAAAAGAAGGCATCACCAAAGAGCTGTAGCATACAGAAGAAGAAGGCTTCTCCAAAAGGTAGTATCTAACTTGTTTTTTTGTGAAGTATTTTCCTTTCATATTAATGATTACAAATTTTACTTACTATAATCTAATTTTGTCTAATAGCTCAACAATCAAGAGCTTCATGGAACCCGGGACTAGAAAAGGCTTTAGTTGATTTACTTCATGAGCACAATAACCCACATTACCGGTGCCAAAACGGGTGGACAAGTGAAGCATGGAACAAGGTCGTCAAAGAATTTCGTGACAGACATCCCTATGTCGCCATGAATAAGCAACAGATCCAAGATAAGGAGAAGGAGTTAAAACGAGATTATAGGTTGCTTAAGGAGGCAAGGAAACAGAGTGGAGCTTCTTGGGATAATCAACGGTGCATGATTGTTGCCGATGATGCTGTTTGGGCAAACATAATTACGGTATGATATTTTGAGCATAATTGTTTTGTCCTCATTCAAATCACTATTATTTGTATTCATGCCATAATTATCTGTTTTTGTATCTTGTGCAGTCAAATGAGAAAGTAAGGAAGTTCAGCAAAAACAAATCCTTTCCTCTCTTTGAATCCTTGGGTGAACTTTATGATGGTAAATTTACTTGATGCCATAATTCTTTGATTCCTTGTGCTTACGTTCAGTGCAGCCAACCTTGTTATTTGTTTTCTTCTCTCGTTGTTTGGCACTGCTACCTTCTTTCTTTGGCTTCTTCACATATCCTGCACCTGTACTATGTTCCTTTTGTATGCTGTAGTCCTCTTAGGAAACAACAGGAACATAGCTGATTAGTTATGCATAGTGACATTTCTCATATCCGCATATTGGAAATCAATGCCAAATTATTTGGTTGCTCATGATGTTTACTAAGATTGAGGCTTTAAATGGCTGATTCTGTTTGCTAGTGAACACATTCTTTTTTGGTGCAGTATGATCAATGTTCCATTAGTTATGCATCTCCCTTCTCGGATCTAGTATTTTCCCTAATAGGTATATACTGAAACTTTTGTATGGGTAGTGAATTGCAACCTTTTTTTTTAGGCCAAACTGCTGAGGGCAACATGAATTTCACTTCTATTGAGCCATTCCAACATGCTACTCTCACACAAGTGAATGAATATCTTGAGAGAAGTGACTCTTTTCCTGATGTAAATTGGGTTGCTGATGATGATGAGACCACTGAAGTTCAAGATGAAGATAATGCAGTGGAGCATGAAAATCAGGGAAGCCACATTACTATCACCTCAAGAGCTAATGGAGAAAAGAATGTCAAGAAGACCAAATCTACTGAGAGAGAGAGAGTAGAAAAGACACCGAAGAGGAATAAGAGGAATGATGTTGTTGATATGATGGGAAGTTACTTGGAGATGAGAAAAAGACAATCTGAGGAGGAGGAAGCAAAGAAGAGGGAGGAGGAAGCAAAGAAGAGGGAGGAGGCAAGCAAGGTTGATGATTGCTCAATAAGGAACTGCATCACTGTTGTGGAATCGATGGAGGAGCTCTCAAATGAAGAAAAGGTCAAATCTTTTGGAGTATTCAAGGACGCGCAGAATAGGGAGATCTTCATGAGTGCAGGGCCTATGACTCGTCTTATATGGTTAAGAACGATGCTGGTAAGTTTGAATTACTATTGTTACTAGCATAATCTTAATTTGTGCAATTCTGAAATTCAATTCTTCTACACTTAAATAGGTACATTTTTTTAGCCACGTTGCACTTTGTTTATGATGCGATTGTGTAACAATGCAGACCATGCAAGAATGACCTTTGGACCAAAAGGATATTGTCTTTCCAGGTACCCGTTCATACTTTTATAATTTTGACATGATTTTCATGTTATATTTATGTCAGGTTTAGGCTGAAGTTAGCATAATTTTGACATAATTCTTGTTAGTATGCCTCTGAACTTTTATAATTTTGATTCTTGTCAGCATGCCCCCTCTCTTCTGTCATGCAGCCATGCTAGTGTGTGTGCGCGCGCGCCACTACTACTAGTACATATCTACATCGATCTACATCTACCTATATACATTCATCCACTTACATTCCTTGCCTACCACCTTACTACTTCCTAAAATCAATCTATCTATCTATTTATCTATCGATCTATCATGCGTGCTTGCTGTAACTGATTAACTGGCAGTGTGATCATCTCTCTCTACTGCTGCTACATATATGCAGTGCTATGCTGCAGGTATAATGTGCTATGTCTGCCTACCACAAATCTAAGCTAATTGTGACATGGTAATAAAGCAGGTGCTAGAGTGATTCTCTGTGTGTATGTGTGTGTGTATGTGAGTGTGTTTGATGTGTAATTGTATCATTGCTTGTGCTCAACAAAAACTTGAGTACAAGTAACCATCTTCTGCATATTTATCTAATTTGATTCAAGTTCATTTTACCTGTTGTTTAGTTTACATATTAGCAATCACCATTGTCTAGTGTCTAAGACTTGTTTCTTTTTGGTTGTGTAGTTTACAGGGTTCCATGGCCCATTTGCTAGTTGTGCCCATTGGAAGGAATCTTTTGCAAGATAGTTCATAGAGACCACTTGAATTGTGAAATGCGATGGATGAAGGACAATTTTTCCTAACTGCTTCTTAATTCATGTAGCTGTGATGGTTGCAGGAACCTTTTTTTTCTACAGGATTAACACTTGCTTGATCAGACATAGATATATTATTTAGTTTGATCGGATAGAGATATATTACGTTCAAAGAACCTATTTTGTAGCTTGCTTTGCACAATGGCAATTGGATGTTTACTGCTTGTAGAATTTAATCTATCCAAAATTATAATTTTTAATATTCTCGACTATTTTTAGAATCCATCTGTGGTAAATCCATGATTTTCTATCTTTACGCTTTTTAGAATTATTTTGCACGTTGAATTTCTGTTCCATTTTCATGATCGTTTTTTATCTTGTCATTTCTGAATTATTTTGACTTTCGTGACCTTCCAGCTTTTTAAATTTTATCCGAATTTTCCATGATAGTTTCTCACGCTGAATTTGAATGGTAGTAATCCCTTCTAATCTCACCTGTAATCCCACCTTCTACTCCAAACTGCTAGCCAACAGGGAAATCCCAGCTAGCAAACAGGGGAATAGAGGCCAGGAGATTGGGGGAACAAGGGGATTGGGGGGAAGGGATTGAGTGTGGGGAGCGGGGACAACCCAAACCCCACGTGGGTTGGTTTTCCTTTGGATTATTTCCCACAGCTAGCGAACAAGGCCTTACGCGTGCGGCTGTTGTGCTTCTGGAACCGCCTACAAGCCAATCGATCCCACTGTTTGGGCCTGATTCGAGATAAAGGGCCGTTTTGCATTGCTACAGGAACTTATTAGCCGTACCAATATTTTAGTAGTTTAGATAGTACATGTGCTTGTTTGGATTGTGACCAATCTATATCTATATCTATATCTATACTAACTAGCAAAATGCTCGTGCTTCGCTACGGTTAAAATGAACGTTTAAATGTTATAAATATTTCAAGAACGGATATAAAACACTGTCGCATTTTGATATACTCATATAGTCATAACGTGCTCTCTATCAACTCTCACATGGCAAGCGCATGATATCATTTACAAAATTGAGATGGTGCTCGGACTCTAATATGTCATGTCACAGAAAGAAAATAATTACTTACTTAAAATTATTGATTTTTGAATTATCTGTTGTTTTTCGTATATTGTCCGCATTATGCACCACACACAATATACGTGGATCCACATAGTTGCCGCGTGTTGCAATAGGTAAACACTAAATTAAATTAAAGTGTTGCAACAGGTAAAAATTAAATTAACAAACACAAACTTTTCTCAGCATTTTTCATGTGATCGAATATTATCCGTATGGTTAATATAATAAAGTTAATGTTAGGAAGAGCAGCCAGCCAACCACGACACGCCACTCCTCGCCCTTGCCTCACGTGGCTCCTATAGGAACGAAGCTCGGGTCACGGCGGTATCGACGAAGAATCTCGGGGCGGTGGGGAGGTTTGAGGTTAGTCATGGACTGTGTTTTGTGGGTCCAAAGCTCGGGGCGATGTGTCAAGTCTTTTGGAATTTTTTTACAATTATTATTTTTTTTATCTCAAATAAATATTGAAGTAGAAGTTTCGATTTTTTTTGATGTGAAGAATAAAAGATCTTAATAAAATAATTTATTTTTTAGCTGAATTAAATCCATGGATTAGCACAATCTAGAACACAGTGGCACCTGTCCACAGCTAAGGTTTTGTTCAGCAGCCTGGTTAGGAACCCATGTCTACAGCACGGGAAAACGGAACAGTACATTAGCTCGTGATTAATTAAGTATAAGCTATTTTTTTTTTCATAAAATGGATCAATATAATTTTTTAAGCAACTTTGGTATATAAACTTTTTATAAAAAAAGGACCGTTCAGGAGTTTGAAAAGCGGGCGCGCAGAAATCAGGAGCGATGAGTTGGGAAAACTGGGGAAGAACACAGCCAAGTGCAGCCAGAAGCTCCTATTTTTTCATAAAAAATAAAAATAAAAGAAGATTATTTCTTGTACAGTACTACTGACTACTGAGTAGATAAAATTGTGTGGTATGGTAAATTGGTAATCCTTATCCTCTCACTCTCTCACTGTTTCGTTCTCTCTCTCCCATTCTGTCTCTCCCTGTCCCTCTCTCTTTACTCTCCAAGCGTTGCTCCTCAGTGCTCAACTGCTCACGCTCTTGTTCAACCGGGAGAAGATGCCGTTCAACGCATCGGCAGCGGCGACGGCTCCTCCGGCCAAGCACCTGGTCGGCGTTCGGCTCAACGCGATGGCGTCAAGGTTGAGGAGCTGATCCGCCGTCGACGGCGACGGGTGCTCACTCTGTCGTTCTCTCTCTCCCATCCGGCGCGACGCCAAGGGCGGCTACTGGGCGGCACTCAACTGGGAGAAGATGCAGTTCAACGCGCCGGCGGCGGCGACGGCTCCTCCGACCAAGCTCCTGGTCGGCGTTCGGCTCAACGGCGATGGCGTCAAGGTTGAGGAGCTGATCCGCCGTCGACAGCGACGGGAGCAGTCGATCCGGCGACCTCTTCCCCTCCTTCACGGATCCCATGGTCTCTCCGCTCCCTCTTGCGCGGATCCGTCGTCGGCTGCGATGGGAGGGGTTAGATCCGGCGACCTCTTCCTCTCCCGCTCGGATCCCGTCGTCTCTCAGCGCCCCGCTCACGCTGATCCGTGGCCGGCGACGACGGGAGGGTCCAGATCCGGTGGTGTCCACTGTGGTCGCGGCTTCCCTGCCACCGCCGCTTCTGCACGCGCGGCCCATACACCGCACCCTGCCGTCTCCTTCTTCCCCGTGTTAGTATGCCTTTCATATGTTTTTAATGTATTTGTGCTGTTCTTATAATGTAGTTTTGCACTTATGATAGCATGTTACTTGTGCTTGCAAGGTTGGGTGGGTTGTCACTGTGGTTGGAGCTGGTTGTTGAGCTGATTGGAGTCAGAGATGGTGGCCAAGATGGAGAGGAGATGTCACCCGAAGTTGTCTCGGAAGCCGCAATGAAGGTTCAAATCTAATATGAGTTTTGGGCTATCTTGGGTTCCTTTATAAAAAAGAAAAGTGATATAAAAAATATTGTTGAGATTATAAAAAATTGAATGATTGCCATTATGGTTCCATTTTCTTTTTGTCACCCTCTTTTCGATCTGTTAACATAAACTTAGGGTAAGAATTAACTAAATTTGTTCATTTTTAGGTATCAACTGAATATAGTCTCATTTGGCAGTTTGAAGAATTTTGAAGCAGTTTCAATAGCACCATCCATGACTGATTGACTGATCCCATGACTTATAACCTGCAAAATGGCAGGATTAGTAGAGACTTGGGTGCACAAATTAGCTCTTTGTTCCCTTACTGCCTGCTAGTTAGTGATGATGTAGGAAAAGAATACTTTGGTACTTGTGTTATGAAGTAGCAACTTAATCAGGAAAAAATAACATTTGAATGGTCCTAATCTATATACACAAATTGCACTTTTATATACACGGTCCGTTTTGTCATTACTGAAAGGTTTATAAAACACCCCAGTGATAATGCTGGCAGCCTTGATATGTCCTCATGGACGGAAAATGAAAAAAATTGCAGTAGTTTAGAACCCAAACCTAAAATATCAATTAGGTGCGGTCTTGTAGCTTAGCCATTGCCCTGTGATATGGACATATGTTACCATGAAAGGAATGAAGCAGTTCTTAGATAAATTATATTGAGTGTTAGCTTCAAGCATACATGGCAGATGCATTCCTATCTTAAATACATTAGAATTGGCCTAGATTATTTATCTTCAGAATTAATCTCATCCTATCATTATGACGATCTTGGTCGAGTGGCTGACTCATTGCTGGATGATGGTTTTCTTGCAGGCGGAGATGGAGGCGGCAAGGTGGGGCTGCTGGCGTTGGATGTTGCACTCGCGTTCCCGCAGGCCACGACGTCCCAGTTCCCGCCCGCCGGTGAGACCTCCTCTCTTGCTTTCCCGGTGTTCTCAGGTTCTCGGTTTCCCATTATTTTAAATAATGAGATATTATGATTGGGTGAAACTGTCTTGGCCATCTAATTGGAGTATTTGAGAGAGGTGTGTGCACTGTGCAGTCGGCCTTTGTTGATTCGTAGTTATCTTCAGTCTTGGGCAGCTTAATCTGGCTCCAAGTTGGCAGCAAGCAGTCCCTGTTCTGAAAACTGCTCTCTTACTTAAGTTTGCTGAAGGGATACTCCTTACATCGAAGTTCATTAGCTACACTTCTTTGGTTAGAAATTGCTCTGTTGCTGTTCAATATGTACCAGCAAAATAAATATGAGAAATCACTCTAGTGCTTCTAATAGGGAGTCATCTTTCAGCTTCTATTAAACACGGAACATTTAAGAATTACCTTCCATCGTCGTATAAATGTAGTAAACGCAGATGTGTCATGCCCAACAGGGAATTGAGTAGCGTCAAGCGGGAGATTGAGTATCCACACCAATTATTAGGTGTATATATGAGTCTTGTTTGTATTTTCAGTTTTTTTATATAGGTTGAGAAGATGTTTGCATCCTACTTAGCCATGTAATTCTTATTCTTGGATTCTGTATGTAATTCCTGGGTTGTAATTATTGAGCCATGTAATTGTATATGACTCTATTTGGGATTCAATCTTGGTGGGAAAAAACCGGGCCCGCGTAAAAAACTAATCGCGACCCACCAAGAAAAAATCGAACGAAAAAAAGGGCAAAAAAAACCAATCGGACAGAAATTGGGAAAAAAACCGTGTGCGGAAAAAAACCGGGCAAAAGAAAAAACCAATCGGACGGAAAAAATCCGGGCCAAAAAAACCGCAGCCTTACTTATTTTTTAAGTAGGTATACTAGCAAAAATGCCTGTGCGTTGCAACGGGTGAAAAATTTCTAATGATAATACACACTTTCCATGTATAATGTATAATGGTTGTATCTATCGTTGTTGCTAAGACATATCATAAAGAAAACCTCGACGTATAATGTATAATGGTTGTATCTATCGTTGTTGCTAAGACATATCATAAAGAAAACCTCGACGATGGCAATCTCCCAATGATCTTTCAATCTCATTCTTGCAACTAATAATAGGATCAATCAAATTCTACACTATCTCATGTGGTCAAGTCTAGATAAAATAGAGTCATCATGACTCTTCTCTTAATAATAATTAAAAATTTATTTATTTTTTTATATGATACGCAATCAAGAATATTAGCTATACTTATCAAAGTAGTCTGATAATTATATAAAGTAGTCTGATAATTATATACAGAATCATGCAGAGTCTTCAATAAGGGGCAACATAAGCTATGTAGGAGATGGAAAACATTAAGTATCCTATTCGACTCAAGCCTTAAGAACATTCACAGAACGCTTTAGAAAAACCAAACCAATGTGGTAGACGATGGATGATACGAACCTTTCTCGTGGAATATGAAATTTTTTCTAAAATTGGACAATTTTTTTGCATTGCACGGTGCGAACCAGATTTTTTTTATAAACGCAGATATTTTCTCACGTTGGGTCGGATAAACACCGGCAATTTTTTATAATAAACGGATGCTAGCTCCCGGAAGCAGTATTTTTTTATAATAAACGGAGTTTTTTCTCGGGAAGAGTCGGACAATTTTTTTCGGTTTGAATTTTCTCGCGTGGATTCAGACAGTTTGTTCCGATTCGCTTTTTTATAAACAACATTTTTTTTGGACGGTTTTATTTCGGAGTGGTTTTTTATTTCGCATTGAGTCGAACGTTTTTCAAACCGTTTTTTTTATAAAAAGATGTTTTATGTTTTTCTCGGTTTTTTATTTTTTTACTGGAGTCGGACTTTTTTTTTACGTAGGTGACTTTGTTTTCCCTTTATTACGGGAGTCGGTCGTGAGAAGTTTTATTTCTCTTTCTTTATTAAGGGAGTCAGATTTCTTTATTTCTCTTTCTTTATTAAGGGAGTCAGATTTCTTTTACGGACGGAATTTTTTTCCCTTTTTATCAGAGTCGGGCGTGGGAAGTTTTTTTTTGAGTCGGACGTTTTTTTTTTGACGGACGAGACTTTTTTTTTTTATCGATCTAGTACGACAGTAGTTGTTTTTCTCGTTTTTGATTTTGAGTCGGACTTAAAGATTCTGGCATGCGTGCATGCGCCGTGGAAGAAGGAGCAATGGGATTAATTCCGCATGCTATTTAATTAGGGGTGTATTAGTAGTATCTTTATGGATGACTTATAAGAGCAGCTACAATAGCAGGCTATAAGTCAGCTACAAACATATTTTAAAGAGATAAATCAGAAGAGAGAAGAGCAGCGGGCTACAGATTTGTAGCCAGCTGTAGCACGGACTCCAAGACGCAGTGTGTCTATGACAGGTGGGACTAGATATTAATAGTGTAGTATGTAACTATTGTATGAATGAGCTATTAGATTGGCTATAGATGAATTAGAGCTAGTAGTTGGCTATACTATTGAACTTGCTCTCAAGTACCTGGTTTCTTTTAAGGAAAAAAAAATGATCGCCCGTGAAAGCGTGGACTGCTGAGGCGAGAGAGCGGCGCCCGTCTCGATCCTTCCGCCCGCCCTTATCTCTTCCTTTTTCCAAGCGCCATTTTTCCTCTTCCTCTCTACTCTCGGTCTTCTCTCCTCGCTCGCTTGTATCTCCTCTCCACCGCTGCGCCATCTCCACAGCCGACGACGCCCTCCCTCTCCACCGCTCCCCCTCCCCCTCCCCCTCCCCCACCGGCGGCACCCCTCCCTCTCCGCCCCCTTCCTCCTCAACCACGGCCCACGGCGGCGAGCAGCACCCTCGCTCGGCGGCGGCGCCCTCCCTCTGCAGGCGACGCCCTCCCCTCAGCCGGCGGCGCCCTCTCCTCGGCAGCATCATTGTCTTCTCCGGCACAGTGGAGGCAACCCCTTCCCGTTAGTGCCTCGGCGATAACATCCTCCTTGCGGCGCACGGTGGGGCGCTCGCCAAGCCGCCACGACCTCGGGGCAGCGGCGTGCTTGCCTCTGATGTGAGCAGTGGCGCCGGTTTTTTTGTGATTTTGTGATTCTCTTGTTTCTTTGCGTAATTCTTGGATCGGATCGGATTTGATCTCTTGTTCAATAATCTGTATTGCCCGTACGGGACGGGTGCGAGCTGGTCGGAGTGAGATGCAATCTTGCAGACTAATACGGATGAAAAAATTCCTAGGAAAATAAAAAAAATGGATGGAAGCGGACTTTCCTCCTTTTGTTTTAATTTTTTCGTCCTTTTTGGTTATTATTACGGACGAATTTTTTTGGAATCCGACAGATCTTTTTTTTTTCCACCCGATTGAATCGGATCGATTTTTTTCCCTTTTGTTACCGCGTCGACTTTTTTTTTCGCCCCCGATTTTTTTTCACACGGACGACGGAAACATCTCATACTTTTTAAGTAGTAGTATAGTAAGTATATATTTTTAATTTTCGAATTAAAAACTAATTCATTATAAGATAAGATTTCATAATAAATAAAAATCTGTTGAAAAAAGAGAAAAAAAATCGAAGGCAAATATAATTTGACATGAGGGAAGCAAACTGTGCAAGTAATAAAAGGTGTACAAATGAGAGAAAAGTGGGAGTCGAACCCGGGTGGCCGAAATGAAAACTTTCATACCTCACCAAGTGGGAAGACTACTACATGTGGGAAGTGATTACATGGAAAGTACATATACCGTATCAAACGTGATTTTGGAGTAGATAAAAAAATATCCGATCGGGCTGTTAACCGGATTAAATCCGGATTTAGCGAAGCGCGTGGTAATGACGGACGAAAAAAACATCCGGAAAATATATATATATATATATATATATATATATATATATATATATATATAGAGAGAGAGAGAGAGAGTTGGACCCATCCAATCCTACTGGTGAAATCAGGTCAGATGTAATCCGAACCGTCCACCCATCTCCACCGCACGATTTCACCCTCTCCACGCGTGAAGACCGAGCGAAGATTACGGGTCTGTTTGGTTGTTGCCTAACATTGCCATAACTCAGTTTGCCATAGGTGTGGCATGGCAAACAAAGTGTGGCCAACAATTTGTTGGCCACAAGTGTGGCAATGTTTGGCTAGAAAATGAGTATATGACATGTAGACCCATGAAATAAGAAAGTGTGGCTTGCCACAACTGAAACAAGCAACCAAACGCTAAGCTAACAATCTGTAGCATGCCTAACATGTGGTGTGGCAATGTGTGGCACCAAACCAAACAGCCCCTACGCCTCATCAGTCATCACCCTCTCAACGCGCGACTCACTCCTGGCGTTGTCGTCCCCTTCCGCCGCCGGCGCGCACTGAACGAGAGGCGAGGTCTTCCCACCGCTGGAGCTTCCCCATCCACCGCGGCCGGCCGCAGGTCCCCATCCGTCGCCCGGAGCCGACGTCGTCCCCAACCGCCGCCGCCGGAGACAAGGTCTTCCCGATGCGCCGCCGCCGCCGCAGTCCACCGCTGCCCATGAGGTCGTTCCCTTCCGCCGCCGCTGCCGCCGTCACCGCGCACTGAACCGGAGGCGAGGTCTTCCCCAGCCCCTGTCTTCATCGTGCGCATCCTTGCCGTGCGCCATGTTTAGTTGTCTTCACCCTCGACGCCTCGGAGCCGGACGCCCGCTGCCCACCACCACACCACCGGACAACCTCTATCCCTGCCGCCCTCCTCTCCATCGTGTGCTTGCCTTCTTTAGCCCGAGGAGAGAGGATTCCTACCACGTCTTTCTGTTGTGCCAGTATCCTCATCGATGAATGATTTTACCACAGCAGCAAAGCGGTTGCCATCTGCTGGTATTATCCCAGGTTTGCTTTTCCGTCTCCTCTCCTTCTCAATTCCTTTATGTGCCCTTGTTCAGATTGCATTTACTTTCTCTTTCTCCTTTCTGCTATCAAATAGGATCAATGAATTGTTCCGTGAATGCTAATTATATTATGAGAATTTTTCCCCGGCAAAAAAAAAAAACAAATGAAATCTGTAGCAATATGCTATATATTAATCTTGAATTTGTGAGAATGTCAACATTCAACCTTTCGACTATGACCCTATGTCACACTGATTCATTGTCATATCTGTTGATTTCCAAATTTGCTTAATCGATACATGTTAAAATGCAATTCCAATATATATGAAAAATAACAAAATTGATAAAATGTTTGATTATGCTCTGGAAATTATACAAAATGAAAAGCTCAATCTATATGTAAATCATTGATTCTGGGTACTTATTCAACTACAAAAGGCATTGCCCCAGATCCCAACTTTCATAACTTTATTAGTTTGTCATTTTTGTTTTTGATCCTTGCACATGATGACAGTACCTCTGAGGTATTGTTTCACTTTCACCCTAAATTTACATGAAAAATCCTAAATGCAATTTGTTTTACCTATGTAAATGATGCAAGATGCAAGTGTAGGAGCTGAAAATTTCTCTTTCAGGGACCAAGAAGAATACAAACTTAACAGTTAGGTATAATCATAAGATTATATATTGTGTTTCATTTTGTTATCATTAAACTGATCCACATGATGTTCAAGTGATTACACAAGTGCATAGATTGTTTTAAAAGTTGGGTTCGATAGATATGTAGAATTCCATGCCGCCATCAGTGATACCTCGCAAGCAAGCCACAATGTCTGCACCTAGGCCTTCAGCGGCTCCAGCTACTGCGTGCTGCAGATGGTACCCTTCCATTACGGTGAGGGGGTCTTCTAGATTAGCTATCACGGTTTTTTTTTTCATGTTTGTGCATGATTGGAGTATCTCTTTTTTTTCGGCTGTACTGAAATTTGGTTTGTGATTAACCTGTGAAAGTATCTGTTTGCACTGCTCGATATCCTTTATTTTGAAAGCGACATCCCGAGGAGGAAGGCTCTTGTGCTAAAGAAAATCTTTAGTTCCTCTCCTTCCAATTTTTTCGGTTCTTCTTTTTGTTTTGATTAATGAAACCAGAAATTCTTGAACTGAAGGAAAAACAGGTAGCTCTACTGTGTTTATGGTCTTTCCTGTTGAAGTAGGAATTCATAGGTGTGTGGCAATGCTCAGCGATTGCACAAGGTTGATTCTCCACTTCTCTGCATCAGATCGGATATATTTCAATTGGTTCGATTTTGATCTATACTGACTCCCTTTTAGCTAAAACCCTGATTACTGATAATATATATGTTCTACTCAGTGAAGGGGATGCAATTAGACTTGGAAATGGAGTTAGAAGGCTTAAAGGTTGCTAATGTGATCTGCATGATATTATCTCATGAAAACCAAACATTGTTTTGCCCCTTTTATATATTTTGCCCTTAGGATTGAATCAATATTTCAGAATGGACGAAGGCATATATCCTCTTCAAAGAATGAGGTCTCAAGGGATTTGGTTGTCAATGTAAAATCACAGATGAAACAATCTTTGTTGGTAAGTAAATGCACTTTTTGCTGCATTGACTGGGATAATCTCGATGAACAATGATGTTGTTTGCTACTTTGATTTTAATGTAGATCACTGAATTGCCATTCTACTATATATGAAGCAATATTTTTAATGTGTAAAATACCCTAGGTCATGTGCATGTTTTTTTCCTAAGTTCATGAATAAAATCTCACTTCTATGTTAGGGTGGCTACTAGATCCAATCCTTTGGTTTTGTGTTTCTTATACACCCAATGATATTTTTTATTTTTTTTAGGCTTGGGTACATGTACATGTTTAATTTTTCTTAATGTCAATTAGATATCATTTGCCAATTAAAATTCATGTAGAAATACACCTACCTGAACCAACATATTCAATCTTCCAATGCATGTTACTTCACAATTTTCGGAGCTAGGAATCTTTTAGAGCTGGACAAATCCATTTACATTGAGTGTTTATTATAAAAGAAATATATTTTCAATCACTAAGATAATGATAAAATTCTATTATGTGTTTGCCGATAAGCCCAGGTGGCTGCCCGGGGTTGCCAAGCGGTGTCTCCACCTCTGACTCCATTCATGTAATCATGTTCATGGTCTGCTCCATTGAGTTTATTTTTACTGGATGCACATCCTTCCATTAGTAGTTCTTGCAAGAAACTGAAATAAGTAACAGTCGTATAGCATTATGCTGCTAGTATCTTCAGTAAAGAATGTATTGTCATTTGCTTACCTCTTTTGTGTTTTCTTCTTCTGATGCTTAGAGACACAAAAACAAGCGTGTACAAACGATGGAAAGAGAATAAACTGTAATTAGTGATCAAGATTGCACCACTCATCTTTTGCCACAAACACTGCAAGAGAGATTGATTTACATATAGTGAATGAATCAATTCTACAGTCTTGAAGATTTAGCTCTAGGTTTTCTTTAGATGGAATGTGCCTCAGATTTAGATTTATGTACATTTTAAGTTGCCAAAATAAACAACTAAATGAATCTTTACGCAACCACGCCAAAGGATTCACCTAGATGCTTCAGTCAACATACTATGACAAGCAGAACAACGTTTATTCTTATCTTTTTTATATAGTAATATGCCCTTGCTATATAAAAATAAAAGCAGAACTACAATGTCTTAAAAGAAAAAAAAAACCATGTTTTTTAGCCTTGGTCTATTGTCAATCATTTGAATATGCTTTGCTTATAAATAGATGATTCATATTCATACAATATTTGCTAATACGTGCATTGCACGTGCACGATTACTAGAACTTATTAGCCGTACCAATATTTTGGTAGTTTAGATAGTACATGTGCTTGTTTGGATTGTGACCAATTTATTGGTACTGTCCATGTTAGATTTAGCATCAATCTAGAGCAACTTCACTATAATTCATATGTTGACTTTATATTGGTAGCAAACCAAATACAATCTTGTCCTACAAAGAAATTGGTAGTACTAAAATTTATCTAAGTTTTAGCACTACCAAAAAATTGGCATGTAGCAATCCAAATAGGCCCCTAGTTACTTAAAAAATTCATTTTAGAGTAAAATACACTAGCGTTGCTTAAACTTGTAACGAGGTCTCACTTAGGTCCACGAACTTACAAAACGCGCATTGAAATATCTAAACTTGGTTTAATATATCATCCCAGTCCAAAACCTTGTTTGATCGTGGTCTTGCTTACGTGGCATGCCGCGTGGATGATGACATGATTTTTTTTTCTCCCTTCTTCCTTTTTTTTTGTGGGTAGATAAGGAGAACCTACAAAACGACGGAACACGTCCATATTCACATAGTGAAACACGATCAGACTATCTTAGGCGGAAGGATGAGTATGAACGCTGAATTGATGCAGAAGCTTTAGAATGCAAGGTAAATCCTCTGGGACTCGTGTCGTGAACATCCAGAGTGTCATTGTGGTGACCGTTGTCAGGTAATAAGGTATGTAAGGCAACGAACTTGAGGACAAAGATGCTTCGTGTGTCCTAACATTGTCGATGATGATTTCATCATAAGTATCAATTCTTTCGGTACCACTAATCACTACTATCATGCACTTACCCGTCCCTATAAAATTGTACCAATAGGAGGATGTAAGGAATTGTCAATTCATACAATGGATCGATACGGTCAGAGTTACTTCCAATGGTCAAACCATAACGCAACATGAGACGACCACTGTTGGTAATTCTTACGGTTACAGATAAAATCCGCAAGCGCACGGATATACCGATGTAGCACTTCCCCTACGGAGTATTCCAAAGGGTATCGAATCCAAGAGAACGTGTGTGGTCAGATCTTCCTCCGGTTCATCCAAGGACACCAAGCTAAAGATAGGCCAGGATAGAGAGGATATACTGGTGAGAAACAGTGTCTAGGGAAAGCTTAAGTTTATTCCTAATGCAATACTTCAGGCACTGGCAACCCGCTCTTCCCAAATGTCGCTCTACTACATACCCGGATAGGGAGGACTTAAGTGATCTCGAGGGCTGTCACCACCTCTACACCTACCTCAAACGTATTGTGGGATACGCAACAATTATTGGATAATAATTACCTAAACACCACGTCTAAGAAATTAATATCTACTTCAGTGTTTATAACTCACTAAAGCAATCACTATATTTTAGTTGATTATAGTGAACAATAATCCCGTATGCTATTTAGGAACTAACCAAGAAATAATTCTCACAAGATAAATCTAAATTACTCAGGAAGAATATTATATTAAAATCAGAGTAATAAATAGAATAAAAGAAATGAGAGAAGATTACCAACAACTCCGGAATTCTTCCGACTTCTTCTACTCTACTCTCTTCCTATTCTAGTATACAATATAGTACAATGGAGCCTCTTATAATTCAGCTCAAGCTTGGAAGTGTGTGTGAAAGTGAAGGAGTGAAGCTCCTTTTATAGGGCAGTTATGACGGTTGTGAGAAGGGGAAATGTCCGAACTGCCCCGCAACCGTCATGAGGAGAGCATCTGGAGCGTCCACGCCAAACCCTAGGATCAACGGTGATCAGAGGAGTTTGGCCGAACCAGGGAGTTTAGCCGAACCAGATCAACGGTGATCAGAGGAGCGAACCTGGGCTGGGCCATCCGGGGCTGGCCTTCGGCTTGTGGACTCCCCTGACTCTCCATTTCTCGGAGTTTTGGGGTGAGTCTTTGATATTTTGATGAAGTTCACAACCCATCCTCGTATGGATACATGTTTCTTTTCACTTCTAGATTTCCTCCCAACTTCGGGGTTTAACACCTGCATACAAATATACACTAACACTTGTGAAATATGTGAGATTAAACACCTATCTCTATGTTGGATGTTTTATTATCTGGTAGATGTTGGTGGTATAGAATCGACATTTAATAGCCGCCAACAACCACACATTTCATTTAGGCTTGGATAGAGTACGAACATCGGGTACAAATTGCAAGCTTAGACTGTAGGAACAATCCATTAGATTTACCTAAATGGTATGAGTATCCAAAGTGTGGTTGTAGAGATCGCTGCTAGGTGGCTACCGCCTTTGATATTGTGGATCCACAAAGTGAATCCGCACCTCCTTGTATTGCCCTGAGCAATAAATATAGTTGTCATGGCGAAAAGATAATTGATTTTGAAATAGAAGTAGAGTACCAACGATTGAAGGAGAATGAAAATGCAATATGGACTGACGAACGATGGTGAGGACCTTCTTTTGCGGAGGCGATTGTGAGGCGGCCTAATGGCGATCTGGCCTCCATGGGGGATCTCTCCTTCGCGGACAAGTGGGATTTCTCACTGGGATTGGATTTTGCCTCCCAGATTTGGTCTCGTCTCCGATCACCGGTTAATTTTTCCCGCTCTCCCTCATCCGCTTTCCATTTGGTGGTTTGTTTTTCACATTTCTCCTTCCGGCTTTCTATGGATTCTATGGCTATTGCCCTCAATTGCTGTCTTCGGGGAAATCCAATGATTTTCGGGTTCGACATCTCCAAAATTCCTGTTATAGTTTTTGGTGTCAGATAGGAAGGTAGGTCTCTGGATGTACTCCTTGAAATCTTTCCAAAATAAGTTCTTCAAGCTTCATTTTCACTTATGGAGGAATGGAGGTCCTGATTGGTACCGTGAGTACACACTATGGGTTCTTGAAGAGGAAAATTCTTGGACTAAAGTTGGTAGAAAATCAAAACCCATCTCAAATGGTGTCATTCGACCTGGGGTCTCGTTTGCTAATGTGTTTTCCTCTGAACCTACTCGGTCTAGAGCAGCTGTACTGATTAAAAAAGTTTTTGACACCATCAAGGATTCCATTCTTGATCCTAATCGGCCTTCCGTTCTTCCTGTGAGGAAATTAGTTTTTGACTGTCTGGATTTTCCTAGACGAAATGTTGTTCAAGTTTCTGGCAGTAATTTGCTTCACGATGGATCTTCGTCCAAGGCGGGATCTTTGGGCTCTTTCAAATGTTCAAAGTGTCTTGCTACCGGTCATTCTAGGTCTGATTGTCACTTCCGTGTTTGTTTCAAAGCCTGCTTTGCTTATGGGCATAAGGCCCGTTACTGTTTGGCCCAGAGTAAGAAGAAGGCCTTGACGAAGTGGGTAGTTAAGGGGAGCACCGGGAATAAAACAAGTCACTTCCGTCGTTTCATCTCTTGCTCCATCTCTACCACAAGCAAAGCGACCTCTCCTTATCCAATCTGCAAAACCCACTTCGCCGAAGGGCCGCATTGATCAGAGTTCCGCTCCCATGGCAGATGTGCAGTTCAACCTGGCACGCTTTACTCCTCTAGGTCTGCATCTCCAGGAAGGTAGCCCTTTCCGTCTGCCTAGAGCGGACTTGTCGGTCAAACCCCCTACTAGGCGACATGAATGCTATAAGCTAGCAGAGGTTGAGCCAGCGATTCATGAGGATATTTTCGATGTCCATAGGATTCAGATTAGAAATCATCTTTAGAATGAGTTGGGCATTGTTGTTGGTCATTGTTCTCCCCATCTGTTGGCAGTGGGCTTGTTTGCAGTTCGTTCTCCTCTGGTTAGGGATACCTTGGTCGAGGCTTTTGGTTTCCAATACAGTAAGTTCCACACTGTTCACTTCCGCCATCATGGTAGGGGTTCTAACTGGCGGGCGGCTCATACAAACCGAAGAGGTTGGGTGATGTTTTTGGGTTATCCGCTTGATTTCCGTAATCAGCATTACATCAATAAAGAGGTGAGCCTTTTTGGTCGATTGGTGGATTGGCAGGAGAGGGATCCCATTCCAGGTAGTGTTATGCTCAGAGCTGTGTTTGATGACATTGACGCAGTACCGAGAGTATTTTTGCTCAAGGAGTTGCCCCTGAGAGGTGGCCTAGGACAGTCATGGACCTTTGGGGTCTTTGTTCTCAACACTGAATTTGCTGACATTCATCTTGGTGATGAAGACCTCCCTCCTTTGATGGTTCACCTTCAAGAACCTACGCAACAGCATAACGATCACATGGATATGCAGCCAGATGCTCCACCACAACATGATCAGCCCTGGGGGAATTGGGATCAGCAAGGGGAGAATAACCCTGAAAATACTGGAAACTCAGGAATAAGTGCTGGCCCCAACCAAAATTTGGCCATGTCTATTTTGGAGAATGAAGCTTCCCCTGTGTTCTTTGTGCTAGATTCTGTTCAGGGCAAAATCCAAGAAGTAGTCCTTAGGAATCAGGTTCTAAGGCAACTGTCAAATTGAATTCAGGGGCCTCCAACTGTTCTGTTGGTTCATGCCCCTTTCATTAGCTTGGTGCTCCCAAGAAGAAATGTTGCTTTTGATTCTTTGCCGCTAGTTTATCACTCTTCACAGTTGCCC